GGTTTAATGGAAGAAGAGACAGTACTATTATTAAAGAAACAAGCTGCAAATTATCTTTTGATCARTGAGTGCAGAGGAACGCTGCACAAGATTGAAATGCCTTTGCCCAGGCTCCAAGCTGCCAGGCTCAGCACCAGCTCTGCTATAAAAGCCATCTAGATTCACATGGGAAGTGGCGAGCAAGGCAAGTGCAGGTTAAACCTTGCTGTGAATTGGAAYGGATGTCACCCTGGCTTTGCTAAATAGCTTCAGGGACTGGGTGGCTCGTGCCTGTTCTCCTCATTATGGAGTGCAAGTGTGGGTCGGAGACGTGTGTTACACACTTCTATTCAAGAACACCTTGAATTCACTATTCAGGCAACAGCAGCAACAGCAAAATGCTTTCCTGTTCCCCACAGGTTTGCTTTAATTTCTGAATGGTTTGAAGTGAAGCCCAGGAGAAGTTCATCCTTTTGTATATCCCCATTGTGAACCATTTGGGAATTTGTTGTGATTCCTCTCGTAGCAGGTGTATAAGACCAGGCCTCAGAGCCTGCCTGTTTGCTAAGAAAAGTTTGCTAACAGGCAAATGAAGCCATTCTGTTTCATATATGATGCATTCAGTATATTCAATATTCAATAAGTCATAGTGTTCAAATGTCTTAAAATTAAACCCCTCCAAAATATTTGGAAAGTTGGAAGATACTGGGCAAAGCTGGGGAACAAATAAACACACAATTTTCCCTTCGTGCTAGCTGTGCTTGAAGGCAAAACTGCTGTTTTTAAGAGCTAGAAACAGTCTCTGAGAAGTTGTTTTGTAGAATATGTAAAAGCTCAGCAAGTTATAAAGCAAGGTTAGTCATTGGACGTATTTAYCTGTAAGGAAGTTCAACAGTACAGATATTATGTTATTTTCATAGGTTGTCTTGCCAGCATTTCCTGGAAACTTATTTGGCTGAAATGCAAAAAATAATAGCTATTATTGGATTAAGGAGCTACAAATCCACTGAAAGAAGTCACAAAATAGTAGAAAATTGGTCTAGAGCCCAGAGCAAGGGGCTGGTTACCATCCCATCTCGGAGCAGGGTCATGTGCATGAGCCATGTGCTACTTTCTGTATAATTTGCAAGTCACTCAGGCTGTAGCTCAACTACCCCTGCCTTTAGCGGGGTCTCTTTCACCGTTACCTCCTCCTATTGTTTCATGTTTAATCTTAATTTTCATTAGTTTCATGTAAACTTGATGTTTCTTGCTCTGTCCGTAATGGTCATGGTGAACAATGCACTCTCTTCTTTTGCACTTTCTTTTACCATGACTTAACATCATTATAATTGCTTTGTTCCTACAGAAAATCTTTCCAGTCTTTCAGTTTTATCTCCTAATTCCAGTCTTTCAGCTTTTCCTTCTGATTGAAGTTTTCCAAGTCTCTGATTAATCTTGCTGCTGTCCCCTCTGACCCTCTCAAATCAGTTAATCCTTCTTGACTCAATTGATCTTCCTCAAAGCTGGGCACATTATTCCCACAAAGGGAGCCAATGATGCTCCAGTCTGTAGTGTTCCAGCCCTCCAGGTAAATCCCATGCGATGTTTTCCCCTTGTCCCCCAAAGGAGTGACACCCTCGACATGTGGCCTGCACATTGTCCTCTGCAGCCAGCCTTGGCACTCATTTGCCATTGGATGTTTACACGGATGACTCCTAAATGTGCAGCCCTGTGTCTGCTCTTAATGGACTGCAGAAATATTTATTGTACACATTATTCCCATGTTTGACAAGATTATTCTGGATTGAGTCCCTTGATTCTGTTGAAAAGTTATTTATAAAAAGCTGAGTAAACCAAACCTCTGTGAAACTATCCTTATTTCAACCGTCCAAATTAATAGTGACCCTTGGGGTTTCCAAGTAATTTTTACCTATCAAGTTTTCAGTGATTTGTCCTTTGTGAATTTCATAGAAGAACTCAAATGTCTTGCTGTTGGTGCATGAAGTTACTCAGCCTTAGCTTGGGTACAACATATTGCTAGTGCAAATTAGAGTATGCACAAGCACTTCATATCAGATATACTTTTAGTTTGTAAGTATTTTTAATAGCAGTGATAATCAAGGCTCTATGTACCCCCAAGGCACGTTTCCTTAGGACTGTTGACAAAAGGAGCTGCTGCTCCTTCCCTTCCCACRTATCGCCCATAGCTAACTGGGAAGAATCCAACCCATGTCAGAGGGTCTGGCTGTTTCCTTTGAAGGCTCTCTAATTCCCTCTCAACTCTTCTGATTTTCTCTGGTCAAGACTCCCTGACTTGTCTAAGCTGAGGGTTTCTTGCTGTCAGACACAATGAATTTGAAATGTGAAGGCATTAAGGGTGGATGTTTGCATCGTTTTGGGTGGACTTACTCCATTGCAGTGGGTACAGTGGAGGTTTGTCTGCCTAGGACAGTGTTTCAGCCTGAGGTGACATTCAGTCACCCTCTTCATTCTCCCCAAATATGGGCGAGGTTCAGGATGCAGCATTTTGTGCAGCCTTCACACAGACCTACTGCTGGGACGAGGTGGCTTTAGGTGCCTTCCAGTGCAGTCCAGRTAAAACAGGAAACCGAGTGTGTTTCCAGGAGTTTGAAAAGGCAGGAAATACGTTACGTGGTGGAGCATGTGGCTGCAACTGGATGCCAGAAAGTTGAGCAYGATCATCTCCTAAAAGCTTAGCTGTTTGTGTGGCACAAATGTGTGTATTTATACCCAACAGAATGGGTAGGCAGCAGTAGGCAACAATTTTTTTCAAACGAGGAGAGCTCCCCCTTAGTGCCAAGTTTTCAGGACCAAAACGTGGGGCATGAGATACCATGTAGCTGCTCAGGTGTGAAGGGTCCTGCCCAAGCCCAACAGCAGCTGAAAAGCCTGGCAAGAACTGCAATGTGTAGTTGCAGAAATAGGGTGTAGGGCTCTCAGTTATTGATTTGTATCGAGTGTAAGTGCTGTTTACATGAGAAAATTCAATCTGATCGTTGAGTTGCTGACGGCATGATTTCTATTTTCTTTTTGCTTACCTTGAGTGAATCTAGTCTATTTATCTATTTCCTAAATCTTTAAAAATACTACTACTAAAGCTACTTAAAATGTAGCTTTAGCACTTTCTGTGTGCATATCTGGTTTGKTTTTTTTTTATGCTGATATCTCTGTACTTCTGCCTTTCTTCAGCCACTAAAGAGCCCTTTTTCAATGTTTTTAAGTTGCTTTGCTTTTATCCTTCATGTTCAAGGTAGAGAAMGTGCTAATCTAGAGATAAGAACTAAGAGACGGTGGAGTAAAAGCAGTAAATCAACAGAGCCCTAGGCTTTTTCTCCATATACATCACTACTAGATGCTGATTTTATGGCACTGTCACTTTCAGTGCTTTCAAATTCTGTTTCTATTGCCTTGCTTAACACGTAACAGCTTGGAATGTAGATGGATTTTGAGCTTCCACATTATTACAAAGTACCTTTCCAAATGCCTGGAGACTTTTTGAGAAGGGATAGTATTTTTGTTGTTATTTTTTTCATTAAATCTTTCACTTCCAAGAAAGGCAGGTCAACCTGCAAATTTATTGGTCAAGTTGGGATGTTGAGAGAGTTGTATGTGAACCCGGAAATTGTTTAAACATAATGTCTTTACAAATGTAGTATCTTAAGAAAAGTTTTTTTCAGTTAACAAAAGACTTTGAGGGCTCTTTTGTCGTAATTGGGAAAAATAATATGAAAGAGAACCCAGTTCTATGCAGGTTTTTATCAGGAGTCACCTTGCTTCTATTTTTAGTGAATGCTGCTAAAAATTCTGTAGCCTGCAGAACACGAAAAGTTGGCGAGATGACAGAGTGCTGGCACTTCTAATAATAGCCAAGTTTAGGAAATTAGGCAAGGAAACATATACGGAGAAAGGAATTAAGGGACTGAAGCCCAGGAAGTCTGTTGCTGTGGCCTGGCCAGTCTCTCAGTAGTTTCCATTGGTCTTATTGACATTGSACTGTCACCTGAAGCTGGAAACAGCATTGAACATCTGAGACAAATTGAAATTTTCGTATGGATGTGCCAGTTGCATTTGAAATCTGCTGTATTGAAAGTTGAATGTTTAATTTGATTTTCCATAGCCCTTCTGAGACTGGCTCTTGGTCAAGTTATTCTCTAGTTTAGGTAGAATAAGCAAGGATAAAATCACAGAGTGTTAATGGCTGTGATAGGTGATAATGGATATAGTGGAGTCCTTCTTTCTGGTGGAGTGCCAGCTGCTCTGAGTAACTGAAGGAGAAGAACTCTCAGCACAGGGTCTCGAGGTACTGGCGTTGCTGTCAAGCTCCATGTCTGCGCTTTGCATTTTTTCCTTCCCGAGATAAGAAATAGGGTCAAAATGTATAGAAAACCCTTTCAATCAAGAGAGATTTTACCATTTMTTTTCTTATTTGTGTATCTGCCTTCTTTTACATACTTTGATCAATTTTCTTTGATTTAGCAATTTTTTTGTTTTTATTGCTTTTTTTTCTGTTTTTCCCCTGTTATTTGCTGAGACGACATCATTTCCCCATAGTATATCTTTTTTTAATCCTCTTCCCTCCAAGCACTGTCTGATTCACATGTGTTTCTAAAYCAATCCTCATTTTTCATCTGGTGTCTTGTTGACTTGTCCCACTTACTGTTTTGGAACGAGGACAGAAACACAGATCTTGTTGATCTGTCTTTCATTCTTGATGTGCATTCTTCATTTCAATAGAGAGCTAATACTACACAGAGATTTTGCATGAGGGTTTTGGGGGGCCAGGGAGGAGGGGAGAATGGGGTTTGAAAGAAAAAGCACTAAGGCTCAAGCAGGGACTGTTTSACTTTTGGAATGGTAATTATTTCTGAACTTTCTAAATTGCTTCAAAACATGATCCCATTACTGTGTGCGTCATTGGGAAGGACAGAGAACGTTGTTGTTTCTAAATTCTTAAATCTGCTCGCAGAAGTGTTTTGGTGTTACATAATTACTGTTGTTCTTTTGCATGTTTTTCCTAGCATCCTCCTGGGCAGTTGAGAAGGAAGTACAGTTCCTGCTCCACTATTTTCCTGGATGACAGCACAGTCAGTCAACCAAACCTCAAGTATACCATCAAATGGTGGGTTTTATAACGTTTTTTGGCTTGAACACACATTATGCGTTGAATATGTACACACAGTTCTGAACCACCGCAAAGCTAGCCCCTCAGGGTTTAGTGTTTGAACCAGTAGATATGTTTTAACCCAGTCTGGCTCCAGAAGCGATGAACAGGACAAGCAAAGGGTAATACCTTGATTTTTAGCTTCTTGCAAAGTCAGTCTCCTAACACTGTATATCTGACAAGAAACTATTAGCTGAAGAACTTGAATTCCAGCAGCTGAAGTCCTTGTGCCTTCAGTGTGTACCAGTGGGGTGCCTGATCTGGCTGAGTCCTCAAAAGTTCAGATACTTGTTTATCTGAAATTTTCAATCTCCTGAAATCTAAGAGCTCTTTCCTGGGAATGAGGAACCGCACATTTTCTTCCAGGGTTCTGTTTGAAATGAAAACTCAGGGCTCAGCTCCCTGTCCTTGCTGAGTACCGCGGCGCTGTTGCACAGCTCATTGCCCAGCAGCTTTGTGTGTCAGATRCACATGGGCTCATCTTCAGGGGATGCCATAGATGTTCATTTCAGGTTTTCTTCTGCCATTTCATGTTTAGAGAGAAATTAAATTAATACCTGTACTGTGCCATTCTGTAAATGTTGTACAGTCAGGAGAAAAATAAGCAAACCAATGTTCAGGTACTTCCTGCTGTTTGTTTACTGCTGCTGGTGATGTGCCTTCAGCTGTTTGCAGGACCTTGGTGTACTCAAATGTAAATGTTTATTAAGTCAAGGTCTGTGCTACAAAGGTATTTACATGCAGACAGATATATTCAGAGTGGTATGTCCTGAGGGCTTTTGCTGATGGCTGTCATTAAAACACTGATTTTTTCCATTTAAGGAAAGAAGGGGAAAGTGGGGAGGGGAATTGCAGCCAAACCAATTCTACTGATACCCAATTACTCATGAGCTATTTTTGCCTGAAATATATTGTCTTTCATTTCCTCAAATTTCTTTAATAACATAAAAAATACTTCAGAAGAACAAAGGAAAAAGAATTTTCCTGTCTCATACATCTCCGCTCTTGAGTTCTTTTCAGGCAGTTCAGCCTTTTAGCCAGGAACTGTTAGGGGGAAGAGTGGGTCCAGCTGCTGCAGCAGCGACGAGGGCACTTTCAGCAGGCCCTGGTGGAGGGGGAATCAGGCTGAGACTGCGGGTTCGGAGCTGGGAAAGGTGCTGGTATCCTGGGGGATGTGGTGGGGGTGGTGGGCACGAGCTGGGGAGGGAGGACGTGGGTCGGCCCCGTGTGGCAGGAGATCCCGTGTGGCAGGAGCCGTGAGGCAGAGCTGCAGCTCTGCGGCCACCGCGGGCAAGGCTGGGAGCTGAGYGGGGCAGAGGGCTGCAAGAGGGGTTAGGTAGGGTGAGAAACTGGAGTCTGGTATGGGAGGCCTCTGGGTGACTCTGTGAATCTGCTGAGTGAGAGGCTGAGTGAGCYGGGCCTRTTTTCTCTGGAGAAGAGAAGGCTCAGAGGGGATCTGATTAATATGTATAAGTTCAGGAAGGGAGAATGCAGGGAGGAAGGGGACAGGCTGTTCTCACTGGTGGCCAGCGATAGGACGA